CCCCTTCAACATTCAGCCTCAACTACGCACCTCTCATGGCCATGTCCGCCAGCATAAACGCGAACGCGAACGCGAACACGAACACGAACACGAACACGAACACGAAATGGACCATTGCCGCCATCACCATCGGCACCAGCAGCGCCGTCGTCACCACCACTCGGAGCATCACCACCACGAGGCTCGGCCGAGTCGACGTGCAGGCGAGTGGCTCGAGGCCGCGGGGCAAGCAGGCGCCGGCAAGCCGGCCATCGTGGCGCCGCCCAGAGTGCAGATCACGCGACGCCGACTGGCTCGTCTGCCAGGGCTGCTGAGCCAACTGGCCGGCTCGACAACAAGCAGCACCAGTCTGGAACTGGTTCATGACAGTGAGCTGGGCCGTCTTGAGGCCGGCCGGCTCGGCGGCCGAGCCCTCACTGACCTGCCGCAGCGCCACAGACTCGCGAGAGGAGGCCAGACCGGCGAGCTCGATTGGGCCCGAGTCGGACAGCCCGACTCGCACCTGCGGCCCGGCCTAGCGCCCCGCTCCGGTCCTCTGTCTCTGCACACGCGCCAACTGGCCGGCGACCAGTTGCTGATGGCGCGTCCCACGGCTCGGCTGGCGCTCTTTGACGAGCAGGCCGACGGCGCTGAGGCGCGCAGGGGGCCGGCCGTCGGGCCGATGGTGCGCGTGGGAGAGGAGGGCAACTTTCTCAACGCCCCACTCGCGCTGGTTCAGTACTGCCCGCAGACCTGCGACCAGGTCTACGTGCACGCCAGCCTGACTGGCGCCGACGGTCTCTGCCTCCTCGTCGTCGGCCTGGAGGCCTACACCTGCGTGCGAGGCAAGCCCGTCATGGTGCAGTGCGTCGCCGCCACGCCCGGCCTTCCCATGCCCATCATGGCGCGTCTGGTGCTGCGCAGAGGCCTTGGCCCGGCCGCACACTCGCGCCCGCCTCTGCCCGGCACGCAGGCCGTCTCCCCCGGACACACCGGCCAGCCCGCTGTTCTCGTCATCCACGACAACTCTTCCTCCTCCTCTTCCTCCTCCTCCTCCTCCTCCTCCTCCTCCTACTCCTCATCCTCCTCCTGCTCCGTATCCTCCATCTCATCCGTCTCCTCCGTCTCTTCCGCTGTGCTCTTGGCATTGGCTTCGTCCAACGCCTCCTCCGGCTCCATCGACTCCATCTCGATGTTGTTTGCGGCCGACTTGGAGTACAGCCGCGAAGGAATAGGCGTCAGCAGTTCGGCCGTCCTACGACCCGGTGGACAGATGTCGCAGTCGTCGAGGGATTACTACACTCCGCCGGACGATAGCGCCTGGCCCGATGAGAATGGCGTGCTGTGGGCATCAGGCCTGGCCGCCGGGCAGCCGACAATTGTTCGAGACGTCGTCACGCCTTCGGAGCCAAGCGACACTCTACTGCACAATGGCAGATTGTCCAAACTAAGCGGCCGATTTAGGCTGTGGCATCCGGCCTGGTGCAGTCTGACGCATCGGGGCCTCTTCTTCTACCCCCTCCGACCGGATGAGCGCGGCTGCGCGCGGCGATGCATCAATCTGGCCGACGTCAGCGCCGTCCTGCGGCACCGCGGCGCTCGAGCCGGCGGTTCGGCCGGTTCGGCCGGCGAAGAGGCGCGCTCGCGCCGCCGGCCGTTGTTGCCGTCGCGGCCAGACCGGCGAGAGGCGCTGATCGCGGCTGGGCGGGACCAATTCGACGTGGTCCTGCAGTCGGGCCGCTGCTACCGGCTGCGAGGCGAGACG